GGGCTCTGAGCCTCCGGTCTCAGTCCCGCTCTGGTCCCGGTCTGGTCTCAGTCTGCTGGACTGAGACTTGGATCAGTCCTGGTTCAGTCTGTATGCAGTGCAAAAGTTCGACATTGCAGTCACGGAAGTCACGTAAACGTTATCCGTTTTTTTGTTTTTTCCATTTTTCATTTAAACACAAAATCGAAAACTGAAAAAAAAAAAAAAAAAGGATCGTTATCCGTTTTTTTTTTTTTTTTTTTTCATTTTGGTTTTGAAGACAAATAATGAAGAAAAGGGTTGTTTTTTTCATTTTCTTATTTTTGGTTTTATATTGAAAAACAAATGAACGAACGATACATGGATTCCAAAGTATCTTTCTATTGGATCCCAGCAGATAAAAATCGCAGACAGAGGTGATGGAGCCACTGAGGACAGTCGTCTGTACAGTCAACATTTCATTTCTGGTGAGGGACCATCTCCACACAAATGAAGAAGGGATTTACAGTAAATGAAATGATATGTACCAAAAGTATTTTTCTCTCCAGTGTACAGGCACAGAATCCAACCCCCTCCTCACTTTCACCGGTGAGGATCCCCCCCACCCTGGTCCTCTATTTCCACCAGCTCTGATTTTGACCCCATTCTACTTCCCATGGCTGTTATTGGGAACAGATGTGATGTTTGATGATCAACAAGGACCTCACACATCCTGCTACAAAATATGTATCTGCTTCTATAAGCCCGTGTAGCTTTTCATTTCTTGGTTGGTGTAGGACGATGTTGAATGAATGAAGCAGTTGTAAATATCTGGATAGTGAAGGTTGGGCACACAGTGAGCGTTAATTAGACTGACAAAGCTCCATCGGAATTAGATCGGATCTAATCTTTAAACTTATAAAAAACTTTAGTTTTATACCTTTCTAATAATGACGCTGATCTAACGAGCTGGTGATTCTGGACAGTTTTATGTCGTTTGCGCTGTTTAAAGTCACCATGATTATATTGAAATAAACTGAATAATCCCAGTGCTGACCTCCAGTATGGACGCCAACTACCACGTCACATGCAAAACTTTAATAGAACGCTGTGATGTCGTCTGAATCTCATCAAAAGCAGAAAGCACAGAGCAGCTCAATGTGTCATAACTGCAGCAAAATCTTAATTCATAATTCAAAAGTCACAATTATGAAATTGTAAAGCATTAATTTATGTAACAATAGTAAGCCCTTTTTAAACATAGTTTAGACCTCTACAACTAGGGTCTGAAAGGTGTCAGATGCCCTCCCAAACACTCTGTTCCACCTTGTGATGTCATGTGGTCATACAGGAAGTGCTCCACTGTGGTTTTCAACTCCACACACCTTCATTAGAATCATTTGGATCATTTCAAACTAGGAACTGCCAATCTCTGAACTAAAGTTAGAAGGAGCTACCACTTCATGACATCACAAAATGGCACAGAGCAGTTTGTGTTTTGGAGATGTAGACAGATTAATAATAAAGAGTTACTCAAACATGTGAATGAAACAAAACCCAATTCCAGGTCGGTTTGTGAGGAGGGAACAACATTCTAACAGTCAGTGTTGTGTGATACAGGAGCTTTAATTCTGCTTTTTATTTGTTGCAGCACCTGTCTGTTTATAATTATCTACTGAAATATGAGTAACTGAGATGATTTTATACTAGATTTATTTATAATCTATTTTATTTATTGTGTCAGTGGCATAAAATATTTTCAATCTTATTATCACAAGTCAAGAGTCACAAATGAGCACTCGGAGGTTTGTCACAGTCTGTGGTCCTGTCGTAGGCTTGTGGGCGGAGCCTTGTACAAGCTCTTACCACTAACTGCAAGGGAGAGATCTCTAGATGACTCAAACATGCATGAGTGAGATGTAAAGCTCCGCAGACATGTTTCTGATGAGAGGACGTTAGCAGTTGGGAGAACGCTCCTAAAGTGTTTTTTTTTTTTTTTTTTTGCAGAACAGCTCTTTAGTCTGAAGTGTTTGTAGCGGTTTGTTTGTTTACGCGGCTCAGCACTTCGCTCGTCTGAATAGCGGCATCTTTTTGCTTTCGTGTGAATATGAAATTAGCATCTCTCCGGTGAATGCTAACCAGACAGCTAGCCGCGCGTGATTTATAGCGCCGCAGCACGGAGCATGTAGCTAGCGCCGCGGATAACAATCACGACGGATTAATCACGCTAAACAGACGCTAACGGGACAAATGAGCTAGCTTAGCACGAACACACAAAGACAGGAACAACAATGCCCACAATGCACTGGGGGGGTCCACTCACAGCATGTAAATACACCAGAGTCTCACCTCCACCTTTCTTCTTTAACTTCACAGTGATGATTATTGAAGAACTTTCAGATCACGTCTTTAATGTGTAAAGATGCACTCTGTAACTTTTCTGCTGTAGGGTCAACCACCAGCTTAGTACATTTTTTTACTTTTACTTCACTGCATTTGAGAGCAGGTATGTGTACTTTCTACTGCACTACATTTCTGAACAGAAGTGAAAAGTCTTTTTATTCTTGTGTGAGACGTGCTGAAAAATCCTGCAGAGTTTATTTCTTTAAGGTCATAATTTGAACAAACCAAAATATACAGTTGGGTCTGGTCAAGCAGTAATGGAGGGAAACGGGCAGATTTTTGACATTCAAATGTCTCTTATTCAGAAACTAGAGGGACTATTGAAATAAGTAAAGTATCAGAATGTAGGAAAGAGTTACACTCCAACAGGGTCAAGTTAAACCTGTGATATTCTTTCAAGTTGTTGACAAAAAAATTTAAAAACTCATGTCGGTAACGGAGGGAATGAAATCTGCAGCACTTTTTGAGCAATAAATCCAAACAGTGATAACTCTTGGTTCTCACTTCCATATCCTTAACAAACTGGTTTGAATATTTGCTTCATATAGTTTTCTACCATATGGACAAGATTAGGTTGAAAAACCTCTTACTTTTTGAGTCATGAGATTTTTTATTAAGAAAGGTCATGGTAACGGAGGGAAAAGTAACGGAGGGAAAATTGTACAAACAAGTAGAAGGTGCAGGATTTTACATCATTTGTCGCTTTTTTCTTCTGAATACTTTAATATTACTTCAAAATGAAAGGAAACTATTTGTATAAAATATGTCAGTCCTTCCAAGAAATTTTTTATTATTTTAAATACATTTTTGTTGAAAAATCCTGTACCTTCATCAACAGTTCAAAGATGGAATAACACAAGATATGATGAAATACATCCATTTATTGACATGATTTGCAGGTCTTTGAAATTTGGGAAATAATTTTTGTTCCATGTTTCATACATGGTCTGTTTAAAACATATGGAACTTTAGAACCAAAAAATGGTACAGAAAAAAGGTCAACAGTTTCATAAACTAGAGTACATATGTATCTGTTCAATACATTTTTATATCAGATGCATTAACTTGAATTTTTGGCCTTGTTGTTTACTTCTGCTTGACTGGGCCCAGTTGTACAATGATACAATCACCACATTTGAAGCTATATTTGATCTTTAACTATGCATAAAATACTTTTGTCACCCTGCGGCAATTTTCTTGTTAATATTGTCGGACATAAAATTCGGTCCATGTCCATGGTGAAATAAAGGTTGTGGACCACTGGTCTAAACATCTGCAGGCCTCACTCGCCTCAGTAAAAAAATGGCATGGCAGAGTTCCAAGGCGAAAGCCACTGCTGACAAAAAGAGCTTAAAGGCTTGTCTCATTTTTCAAACATCTTGATGATCCCCAAAGCTTTTGAGCAAATATTCTGTGGACTGATGTAACAATAGTTGAACTTTCTGGAAGGAGAGTGTCCCGTTACATCTGTCGTAAAACAAACACAGCATTTGATCAAAAGAACATGATGCCAGCAGTGAAACATGGTGGTGTTAGTGTCATGGTTTGGGGCTGTGCTCTTTCAGGACCTGGATGATTTGCTGTAATTGAAGGAACCATGAACTCTGCTCCACCAACAAATCCTGGAGGAGAATGTCCGGCCATCAGTTCTCAAGTTGAAGCACACTTGTGTTCTGCAGCAGGACAATGATCCAAAGCACATCAGCAAGTCCACTTCTGAATGGATTGTTTTTGTTTTGTTTTTTTTAAAGGTGGTTCATGTTCATGAAACCCTCCAATGTGGCTGATTTGATAAAAAAGAGTGGACCAAAATTCCTGCACAGTGATGTGAAAGTCTCACTGGTAGTTTTCACAAACACTTGATTGCAGTTATTGCTGCTAAGGGTGGTTCAACCACTTCTTAGGTTTAGAGGGCAAATACTTTTTCAGATGAGCCATGTAGGTTCAGATGTTTTTTTTTTTTTTTGTTTTTGTTTTTTTCGTTTTTTCACTTAATAAATACAGTTGCCACTTAAAACTGCATTTTGTGTTTACTTGTGAATTATCTTTGTCTAATATTTAAGTTTGCTTGATCTGAAATGGCTAAGAGCGACAAAGGTGCAAAAAAAAAAAAAAAAAAAAAAAAAAGAAATGTTATAATGTTTTTACCTCCTCAAAAACAGACCTGGAGTTGTTTTGTTTCATTCTCACAGGTTTGAGTAATCCTTTTTATTAGTCTACATCACCAAAGCTCAAAATGCTCTTTTCCACCTTGTGATGTCATGAAGTGGTAGTTTTCAAGTTAACAGCTCCTTTTACCTTTAGTTCAGTAGCGTGTAAAAAAAAAAGTATAACATGGGCCCTTTTAATCTGCCTGTCTATTGTTTGAGTTGAACTTTATCCATAATTCCCTCAGTATATTTTTAGTAATACTGTATGGCAACAACAACCAAAAAAAAAAAAGAATTACGAACCTGGCTCCAACTGTTTTTGTTTCATTTGTCTGCTTTTATCCATAACACTGAATTTTAATGACTTTTTTATTCATTCACCTCAACTTCTTCTTTTTTTTTTTTTTTTTTTTTTTTTTTTTTTTTTTTTTTTTACAAGGCTTGTTTTACTTCTAGGGGGTCTGAACTGTAACACATGACACATTTAGATCACCATGTTACCTTTTATTGTTTGGAAAATGTTATATTTGCCCAAAACAACCACAACACAATCAGCACGCACATTGAATCAAGTTTGTCAAGTTGAAATCCGGCTTTTGTAATTCTGGGCTCTACAAAAAACTGAATAGACACAACCCTAACACAATATGTAATAATCGGTGTATGTAATAATGATCACATTAGTGTTCACATTTACACACAACCACCCAGAACCACTAAACAGGATGACATCTCCCTCTAGTGGAACAAACATGCAATTACATCACAGAATGAATACACATGTACTTTATACCCCATTTAAGCCTTCAGTGTCATCAAAAGTGAACTTTAACTAAAAAAAAACTCCAAAGAAACTTCCTCTCAGTGCAAAATGAAGAGCAAATAATCTGAAGCTGAGATCCATATTTGGAATTCTGATCACGAATGTCATATAAAGAGCCAATCAGGACAAAGGCTGTTAAAGGTGACACCCCTTCAGCGCTGGTTTGGCAGAAAGCGACAACTTAATCAAACCTGCTGCTAACAATAGCAAGAACAACCTCAGAGTAAGGAAGGCACCAGATTTGTCTGTTATTAATGTTCATATCTTGATTTACACACAAAAGATTGAAATAAAAACACCAGGATCAAGTCCTGCAAATACAAGGACTGGATGGAATATTTCAAAAAGTGTCTCCACACGTCTCCAATGCCCTGGCTCACTAGGAAATGAGACCCTACCAATGTCCAAAATTCTGAACTGTCCCTTTAAGAACGACCATGACAGCAACATTTACAGACAGGGGCAATGTCATGTCCACAGACAGATCATCTGTGGTTCAGTAGCGACAGATAATGATGGGGTTTTTGTCTGGCTCTCTCTGCTGGATGTTAAAGTACGCAGACACAGGGAATACCAGGCCTGTGCAGTCCACCGAGACAATCTGCTTCATGGACTCTGCGTCGTAGAAGGAGAGACCTGGAGAGGAGCAGTCCAGGTAAACCCCCACCCTCCGGAGAACACCTCTGAGAGAAACCTCCACGCTCTTATCCCGTTTACAGGAAAAATACTTCTGATTTTCAAATTTGAGGAAGTGATTTGTGACGCCCACACACCAGAAGCTCCTCTGCCCCACCTCCACCTCCCAGTAGTGCTGCCCATTGGAGAACTCATTGGTGCTGAACAAGGGAAAGGTTTGAGGAACGTTCACCACCGCTTGACCAAAGAGCCCCCCACCAAGCATCCCAACCTGTGGTGAATGAGAGCGCTGCCGGTTAACACCTACAAGCAAGTTCTTCTTGTTCTCAGGCAAGTTGTTACCAAACCTGTGACCATAATTCATCCCAGATAATGGTGGTTGCCTCCAGCTCTGAGGTGCGAAGTGGAAGCTCCTCTTGTCTTCAGACACAGTGAGGGAGCTGTTGTCGTCTCGTAGCTTGAGGAGATCTGGCCTCGGCTCCACCACCTGCAGTAGCTCCTTCCACATGAAGAACTGTAAGTGACTCTGGAAGGGGCCCTGAAACAGAGGACTTTGGACCACAGACAGGCCCTCAGACCACCTTTTGAACAGGTCCTTTGAGGCAGTGTTGCTCTGTTCTTCACTCCAACGTCTGAGGAACATCTCTGGGTCTGTGACCTTCAGATGAGACACAAAATAATAAGAAAATCATTTATAATGCACATCGTAAGTGTGTGAGGTCATATATTTGCCTGACATATTTAGATCTCCATGTTACTTTTATTGTTTTGAAAATGCTTTATTCATCAGACTCCCACTAATCGCACTAATAAAACTACATCACATCACATCGTGTACTGAGCTCTTGGTGTTACCTGCAGGAGCTGCTGCCAGCTGTCCCTCTGCTCTCTGCACTGGGCCAGAGCTGTGTCCATGGAGCTCAGACTGTGGTTCATCTTCTGAACTGTCGTCTCCTCTTTGGTCTTCAGCTCGACCCTGATCTGCTCCTCCCTCTTCCTCAGGTGCTGATGCAGAGTCTCAAACTGCCTGTGGATCTGGCTCTGCAGGTTTCCACACAGATCTTTGGCTGTGCTCCTCGCTTGGCTCTGTGCGTCTTTCAGGTTTTGGATCTCCTCGATTTGAGACGCCATGTTGGACAGTCCCAGGTCCAGGTCCCGCCTCAGTGAGGCAGCGGCCTCTCTGATTGGTTTAAACTTGTGTCCGTCGTGGGCCTCTCCGTCTCTGCAGATGATACAGGCCAGTTGCTGGTCTGTGACGCAGAACAACTTGAGCTTCTCATCGTGCTCCGGGCAAAGCAGCTGTACAAGGAGAACAATACGACAGAGGAGAGATTTAGAGAAAATATGACAGCACTTTTTACTTACAAATCTTATTTTTGATAGAATGTTTAATGTAAAGGTCAGTTCACTCTGTAGAACTGTGAACTACTAAACATCTTTTTGTGAAGTGTTGAGATTTTAACTTTATGGTTCAAAATACAATTCAGTTACAATATAGATTTTATTTATTAAGTTAATATTAGTTAAGTTAATATTATGTTTGAGTGATATCAGTGTATCACAGAGGAGCATAGAAACACATCTGGTCTGGAGGGAGCCGCTCCACAGACCTGCCCCAAGACCCCAAGAGAACTGACACTGGAGCTGAAAATTTGATCCAATATTTGGTCCCACTTCATAAAACTTGAGTAATGTGATGTTGATTTCTATTTTTAAACTTTGGCCAAAAACACACTCCCTCCTTCAGCTAATCTGCCTGATCACAGATAAAACCACTGGCACAGACTCTGGTGAAAATACTGTGCACTGTGATTATCCACTTTTCTTCTCATTCTGTCTTGTTTATTCACAGTTTGGCCACAGTGCAGTCCAGGGTTTAAAATGGTTTAATTTGGGCTTTTGGATCAGTCTTGGTTAAGTTTCATTTTGGACCTTTTCTACCCTTTTTCCATTTTAATACTAGTCCTACTTTTTGATGGATCTCTGTTAGAGACAGATATATCAGTTGGCAGATATTTGAACCTTTTTGAATATTGTCCTTAAATCTCCAGCATCCCTAAAAATATATACAACGCTTTATTTTAACACTGTAAATGAATAGATAACTGCATGGCTCTACAGCTGTGTTAGATTTGTGGTTAAAAAATAAATAAATAAATCAATCAATCATTCTGTAGTAAATAATCAAAGTCACCCTAACATACTGACGAAAAAAGGCTTATTGACCACTTGTTGGTCGGCCATGAAAACGTTTAGTTCTAGTTTAGTCCTGGTTTTAGCTCCAGTTTAATAGCCTACTTGTTGAGTTTGCTGAAGATTGTAAATGTCTTCTTGTTTTATCCCTTTAGAGTTTGGCTCTGGTTTATCTCCGGGGTTCTTACCTTCTCCTGCCCGGGTCCGCTCCTCTGTAGCGGCCGCTCTTTGGCCTTCTCCGCCAGGCTCTTCAGGATGTGGTTGGTGACGAGGTGCTCCAGTTCACCTGCAGCCGGTAAAAGAGCGCGACACTGCGGGCACTGAGCCGAGGGGACCGCGGTGATGCAGCTGCGGCAGAACGAGTGTCCGCAGGAGAGAGTCACCGGCTCCGTGAAGATGTGCAGACACACGGAACAGCGCAAGTCCTCTGCGTAAAACGCGCCCGCCATCTCTGCTTCTGTTTCTGATTCTGCGGCGCTGCGCACTTAGAGAAAGTGAAGTTTCGAGTTCTCTGTTAGTTTTTGTCACGTGACTATATTCATCAGTGTTGCGTTTGTGTAATCTGTTATCTGTTATCCCTTGTTATGTTAACTATGTTCAGCAAAGAAAACACGCAGCGACTAAAACGTGTGTTCAAAAATTCATCATTTCAAGTTTTTATTTCTCATACAAATTTAATTTAACCTCCACCTTAACCCTCCCTTTGCTCTGTGGACAACTGCAATCCTTTGTCTTTCTCTCAGTGAGCTTCATGATCAAGTCCCTGAAATGGTTTTCTCTTTACAGCTGTGTCATATCAGGGTCAAGAACTGACAAAAGTGCAAAGCCATGATCAAAGTAAACAATAAAGGATCTTTTAAAAAATCTAAACATAGTTATTCTGAGTTTATTTTGTGTTCACTACATTCCACTTGTGTCATTCATAGTTTGGATGCTTCAGTGAGAATCTACAGTGTAAATAATCCTGGAAATAAAGAAGAAGAAAAGAAGAGACATAAATGAAACATTCGCATTTTTGACAGTTTTATTTAAAGTGACTCCAGTGGAACCTCAGACTCAATGATGCAAAATTCTATTGTCTTTTACCAAATGATGGAATGGAAAGTGGGAACTGAACGTATGAACCTAAAAGACTGGAGGTGGCATGTTCTGGATGGGAGATTTATGGCAGTAATGACCGATCAGCCTGTGGCACCACTAGAAATACTAGATGTATTTTCTGAAGTTGCAAGAAAGATTACAGCAAAGAAATGCACATGGAAATAACATGGACTCACTTGTCGTGGTACTAGCTGCACAAACTCACAGGTGCCTGATTGATCAGATGAAGAACTAAGCAAAAAACACACCAGGAACTGATATAAGAGGTGCCAGAACCAAGAGCCACAGAGCGGGGGTCGACCCTCCCCTGTTGTTGCACCCTGTCGAGGTGGGGAGGCTTGTGTGCCTCTGTGACCCTGAATACCAGTGGGGTTATACCAGTGGGGTTATACCCCTGGCAGAGGCCAGTCTAAAAGCAGCATTGCCATCACCCTTTGGCAATAGGTTTACAAATGGTGTTTCTGCCTATGCAAATTAGGACATATTCAAATATGTAAAAAAAAAAAACTTGTAATACAAAAATACCAAAAAAAAACAACAGTTTGGTGTATTTTGGGCATATTCGATTATCATTTACATATTAAAGTTCATTTTCAAAGAAACTTGTTCCCATGAAAAGTACATTTTCTTTGTTTAACATTCACTGTGTAAAGCTTCATTTTGATAGGAGTAAAGAACAAAAAAGAAAGAAAAAAATAAAATAAAATAGCCCCATTGGGATGTTTTGTTGCTGTATTGACACATATCTCGCATTAATGAGAACCAAACATATTTCGTCAATGAGGATTTCTTAGGACTTTTAGTATGTTGTTGGACACCTCATAGAAATGGTCTAAGCTAAACAAAAAAAAAAAAAAAAAAAAAAAAATATATATATATATATATATATAATATATATATATAATATATATATATATATAATATATATATATATATATATAATTAATTATATTGTTTTGCTCCAAAATAAGTTGCTTTGCCTAGACTAAATGGAAATCTCTAAATCTGAGATGTTTTTTTTTTTTTTTTTTATCAATTCACCTGCAATGTCTCACTGCTTTTGTAATTTTGGTCTCTAGAAAAAAATAAATAAATAAACTGAATAGAGACAAACACAATATGTAATAATAATCACATAAGTCAGGAGTGTCCAAACATTTTTCATCAAGGGCCACATATCTAAACTGACTGATGCTCAATACAGTGAATAATAGAAATATGTGCAGGTTTAACACATTATACTGAGCCATCAGTCTGTATTCACACTGATATAACCACTAAACACTAAATATGAAATATTTGCTTTATCAAGGTAGATTTTCAAAAAACTTGCACTAAAAAATATTTTTTTAATTGATGCAAGGCCAATTCACCTGGAAGCCTGAGGGCCAAGAAAAATGTGTCTGAGGGCCACACTTGGCCCCCGGGTCATACTTTGGACATGCCTGACATAAGTGTTCACATTTACACACGACGGCCCAGAACCACTAAACAGGATGACATCTCCCTCTAGTGGAAGAAACATGCCATTACATCACAGAATGAACAGACATGCACTTTATACCCTCATTCAGAGGAAGGAAGGCACCAAATTTGTCTGTTATTAATGTTCATATGATTTGCACATACAATAGTGAAATAAAAACACCAGAATCGAGTACAGCAGGTTAATATAACATTTTAAAGCCTTAATGACGACCATGACAACAACATTTACAGACAGGGGCAATGTCATGTCCACAGACAGATCATCTGTGGTTCAGTAGCGACAGATAATGATGGGGTTTTTGTCTGGCTCTCTCTGCTGGATGTTAAAGTACGCAGACACAGGGAATACCAGGCCTGTGCAGTCCACCGAGACAATCTGCTTCATGGACTCTGCGTCGTAGAAGGAGAGACCTGGAGAGGAGCAGTCCAGGTAAACCCCCACCCTCCGGAGAACACCTCTGAGAGAAACCTCCACGCTCTTATCACGTTTACAGGAAAAATACTTCTGATTTTCAAATTTGAGGAAGTGATTTGTGACGCCCACACACCAGAAGCTCCTCTGCCCCACCTCCACCTCCCAGTAGTGCTGCCCATTGGAGAACTCATTGGTGCTGAACAAGGGAAAGGTTTGAGGAACGTTCACACACCGCTTGACCAAAGAGCCCCCCACCAAGCATCCCAACCTGTGGTGAATGAGAGCGCTGCCGGTTAACACCTACAAGCAAGTTCTTCTTGTTCTCAGGCAAGTTGTTACCAAACCTGTGACCATAATTCATCAGATCCATAGATAATGGTGGTTGCCTCCAGCTCTCAGGTGCATAGTGGAAGCTCCTCTTGTCTTCAGACACAGTGAGGGAGCTGTTGTCGTCTCGTAGCTTGAGGAGATCTGGCCTCGGCTCCACCACCTGCAGTAGCTCCTTCCACATGAAGAACTGTAAGTGACTCTGGAAGGGGCCCTGAAACAGAGGACTTTGGACCACAGGCAGGTCTTCAGACCGCCTTTTGAACAGGTCCTTTGAGGCAGTGTTGCTCTGTTCTTCACTCCAACGTTTGAGGAACATCTCTGGGTCTGTGACCTTCAGATGAGACACAAAATAATAAGAAAATCATTTATAATGCACATCGTAAGCATGTGAGGTCATATATTTGCCTGACATATTTAGATCTCCATGTTACTTTTATTGTTTTGAAAATGCTTTATTCATCAGACTCCCACTAATCGCACTAATAAAACTACATCACATCACATCGTGTACTGAGCTCTTGGTGTTACCTGCAGGAGCTGCTGCCAGCTCTCCCTCTGCTCTCTGCACTGGGCCAGAGCTGTGTCCATGGAGCTCAGACTGTGGTTCATCTTCTGAACTGAACTGTCATCTCCTCTTTGGTCTTCAGCTCGACCCTGATCTGCTCCTCCCTCTTCCTCAGGTGCTGATGCAGAGTCTCAAACTGCCTGTGGATCTGGCTCTGCAGGTTTCCACACAGATCTTTGGCTGTGCTCCTCGCTTGGCTCTGTGCGTCTTTCAGGTTTTGGATCTCCTCGATTTGAGACGCCATGTTGGCCAGTCCCAGGTCCAGGTCCCGCCTCAGTGAGGCAGCGGCCTCTCTGATTGGTTTAAACTTGTGTCCGTCGTGGGCCTCTCCGTCTCTGCAGATGATACAGGCCAGTTGCTGGTCTGTGACGCAGAACAACTTGAGCTTCTCATCGTGCTCCGGGCAAAGCAGCTGTACAAGGAGAACGATACAACAGAGGAGAGATTTAGAGAAAATATGACAGCACTTTTTACTTACAAATCTTATTTTTGATAGAATGTTTAATGTAAAGGTCAGTTCACTCTGTAGAACTGTGAACTGTACTAAACATCTTGTTGTGAAGTGTTGAGATTTTAACTTTATGGTTCAAAATACAATTCAGTTACAATATAGATTTTATTTATTAAGTTAATATTAGTTATTTGGGTGATATCAGTGTATCACAGAGGAGCATAGAAACACCGACACTGGAGATGCATGGTTTAGCTGAAAATTTGATCCAATATTTGGTCCCACTTCATAAAACTTGAGTAATGTGATGTTGATTTCCATTTTTGAACTTTGGCCAAAAACACACTCCCTCCTTCAGCTAATCTGCCTGATCACAGATAAAACCACTGGCACAGACTCTGGTGAAAATACTGCGCACAGTGATTATCCACTTTTCTTCTCATTCTGTCTTGTTTATTCACAGTTTGGCCACAGTGCAGTCCAGGGTTTAAAATGGTTTAATTTGGGCTTTTGGATCAGTCTTGGTTAAGTTTCATTTTGGACCTTTTCTACCCTTTTTCCATTTTAATACTAGTCCTACTTTTTGATGGATCTCTGTTAGAGACAGATATATCAGTTGGCAGATATTTGAACCTTTTTGAATATTGTCCTTAAATCTCCAGCATCCCTAAAAATATATACAACGCTTTATTTTAACACTGTAAATGAATAGATAACTGCATGGCTCTACAGCTGTGTTAGATTTGTGGTTAAAAAATAAATAAATAAATCAATCAATCATTCTGTAGTAAATAATCAAAGTCACCCTAACATACTGACGAAAAAAGGCTTATTGACCACTTGTTGGTCGGCCATGAAAACGTTTAGTTCTAGTTTAGTCCTGGTTTTAGTTCCAGTTTAATAGCCTACTTGTTGAGTTTGCTGAAGATTGTAAATGTCTTCTTGTTTTATCCCTTTAGAGTTTGGCTCTGGTTTATCTCCGGGGTTCTTACCTTCTCCTGCCCGGGTCCGCTCCTCTGTAGCGGCCGCTCTTTGGCCTTCTCCGCCAGGCTCTTCAGGATGTGGTTGGTGACGAGGTGCTCCAGTTCACCTGTAGCCGGTAAAAAGAGCGCGAACACTGCGGGCACTGAGCCGAGGGGACCGCGGTGATGCAGCTGCGGCAGAACGAGTGTCCGCAGGAGAGAGTCACCGGCTCCGTGAAGATGTGCAGACACACGGAACAGCGCAAGTCCTCTGCGTAAAACGCGCCCGCCATCTCTGCTTCTGTTTCTGATTCTGCGGCGCTGCGCACTTAGAGAAAGTTAAGTTTCGATTTCTCTTTTAGTTTTTGTCACGTGACTATATTCATCAGTGTTGCGTTTGTGTAATCTGTTATCTGTTATCCCTTGTTATGTAACCTGTGTGCAGCAAAGAAAACATGCAGCGACTAAAACGTATGTTCAACAATTCATACTTTTTATTTCGCATATACTAATTTAATTTAACCCTTGTATTGTGTTAGAAAGCTACACGCGTCTTTAGTGTTACCGGGTCAAATTTGACCCGTGATTTAACTCAGCCTGAAAATACTTAAAAACACTAGATATCATCCAATATTGTTTTTCTCCTCATAACTAACTTAGTATGTGTTCATGTCCATGGAAACATTTTTATTTTTTATTTATTTTTTTTGGCTGCACAGACCTTTTATCTTAAAATATACCACACATTTTTTGATTACAAAAACTGTTTAAATTCACTAATTATATTTCCTATAGTGATAAAATTTGTAATTATATTATATAATTATACTATAATGATAATAATTTTATATATAATACATATAATATAAATCTAAATTATATAAGTATAATTATATTGGGTGTGAAGAGGCTTGGTGACCATGAACTGTCACTTTTTCTTGACTTGAAGACGTCTCTTTCAGTCTTTGTGACATCTGGGTTCTCCTCACCACATGTGTGCTCTTGTTCAGGGTCATACTGAACCTCATCCTCATCCACAGACGTATATATGAATGGACATAACTAACGCTGTAGCCACCGCGTTCCAAATAGAAAGTTCTCCAGGAGGCTCTTCCGGCTCCTTCTGACTCTGGCTCCAATTGACTTATGTTAGGATCTTGTCGTCCTTCTCTCTGTACCTGCTGCTGTGAACCTCGTCATTTTGGTCTTAAAATATACATATTAACCTGCGACACATGATCCTGATTTATTTTTTATTTTTTGGCTGTTTTGTCTGTCCAAAAAATCCTATTCATAACATATAACCTGACTCTAGATTCGCTCCTGTAACCGTGAGCTTCATTTGAGCGGCGCCAAACGCTGTGGGTGACGTCACACTCACTTAGTCCACTTCTTTTATTCAGTCTGTGCCCTCATCCTCATCCTCAGATACATCTTCCTCAGCTTCACTTTCCTCTCTGTCTTCAGAATCACTGTCATGACCAAAGATCTGATCCAGCGCCTCATAAACAGTGAACCTGCTCATGTTGACTGATGCTGCAACAGAATACAGCTGATAATATCTCACTAAAACCCTGTTTATATATGACAATGTTTATTTTAGATTCAAAATGTGTCAATGTGCTGCAAGAAAGAGAAGAGTTCACGTGGGTGAAGACGACCTTTTTGTGTGTGTGTGTGTGCGTGTGTGTGTGTGTGTGTGTGTGTGCGTGTGCGTTTGCGTGTGTGTGTTGTGTGTGTGTGTGTTGTGGGACACACTGAGCCATATTTGATCCACAGAGCAGCCTACAGCTTGTAAGTGATGCATAAAACAGCCACTATTCTCTGCCGGGTCATTTTTGACCCGTAACACCACAGATGTCACTTTTTTTTTTCAGACCTTTACAATTTACTAAAATGGTGAAAATTGATTTTGTTGCGTTAAAATAGTTGTGTCTGAGGATTAGATGAAGCCTCATTCCGGTACAAAAAAGCAAATGGCAGTTTTTACATACCTAAACTTGAAAACGGGTCAATTTTGACCCTAACACAATATAAGGGTTAACCTCCACCTTAATCCGCCCTTTATGTCAATCCTTTGTCTTTCTCTCAGTGAGCTTCATGATCAAGTCCCTGAAATGGTTTTCTCTTTATCTATAACGCTGAGTTTAGATTTTTAAAAAGACACTTTACTCTTTGCTTTGATCATGGCTTTGCACTTTTGTCAGTTCTTAATTTTATTTATTTATTTATTTATTTGAGACAGGGACAGCGCACAATTTTGACATGAACCTTAACATGAGAGATGCATTGTACATCAGGTTGTAGCATCAGTGCTCATTTCCACCTGTCGTCCCTGGACAGGTTCATTGATTGATTGTGTTTAACTGACCTTGTCTATCAACTGTTCTTTCTGGAGACCTGGAGCATGTTTTGGGTTGATGGGGGAAACCAGAGCACCCAGAGGAAACCCATCCAGACAAGGGGAGAAACATGCAAACTTCATGTTTGCATGGAGTTTGCAAGCAAACATGGACATGACACATGTCAGGTTCTTGACCCTGACATGACACAGCTGAGTTTATTTTGTGTCTCTACATTCCACTTGTGTCATTCATAGTTGATTATAGATGATTCAGTGAGAATCTACAGTGCAAATAATCCTGGAAATAAAGAAGAGAGAGAAGAAGAGACATAAATGAAATGTCCACATTTTTGACTGGTTTTTAATATTTTCATAAAAATGTAACAAGTATCACTAAAATAAATGAATAAAATGAATTATAAGTAGCAGAAAGAAGAGTTGTCAAAGCCTGATCCCGTCACATCTCAGAAGCCAAACAAGGCAGCACCCGGTCAGGACTCGGATGGGAGACACTGGGAAAATCAGGTGCCACAGTGGGGCGTCATTGTGTCCTTAGGCAAAACACTTCACCCACTGCCTACTATGAAAGTGGTGTGTCCGTGTGTGAGTGATGATGGTGTTTGAAGGGGCCGATTGGCTGCAAATTGGCAGCTTTGCTTCCATAAATCTGCCCCAGGGCAATTGTGGCTACAGTAGTACCACCACTGAGAATGGAGTGAATAAATAATGATCTGTAAAGTGTCTTTGAGTGTCCAGAAAAAAGCTATAATAGCTAATAATAATAATAATAATAATAATAATAATAATAATAATAATAATAATAATAAACAGTTAGATCTGAAAACCTGAGGTTACACAGGAAGATATTAAAGGCTGTAAACCTGAACACTGTACTGGGGCTTTAAACCTCACACTGACTGAATCAACCTCTTTTTAATTCAGCCAAACGAGAGAATGGCGTGCTGAACCTAACACGTGCTGAACACAGCGTGTGCAGAGGGAAGTGTAACATGCAATATGTCCACCAGATGTCGCCACTCTACTTACCACCGTGCCACTTACGCACTGCACACCACAACTCAATCAAATGAAGAAAGATCCACTCAGAGGGCAATTATTTATACGATATTTAGTCCCATGTTTCTCTCTCGTGTTACTTTAAAATGTATTTGCTCTTTTTTTTTTTTTTTTTTTGCATTGTAGACTGCGTGCACATTACTTGTCCTTTTTATCGAATCTATTGTCATATTGTCACACAAACAGTTCACTTACTACAGAAAACTGGAAACACAGTCTCCAAAACAGGGTACACAGTATATTTGTGCACATGTGTGTTTGAAAAGAGAATCCTCCACCCTCCATGTAGATAATATTTAGTCTGTGTATGTGTTGGTTTTGTATATGTGGTAAAAAAGCTGATCATGTGGTATAAAGGTCAGAGGGGAAACAGGTGACTTCCTCTTGATGAGCAGGCCTAACACACGGCTATTTCTGGTGAGCCAAACAAATGTTTGTTTGTACATTTTAATCTTGTTAAAAAACACATTTTTAATTTTTGTAACTTGGATTTTAAGGGTTTTAACGGTCCAGATCAGAGGTATGTTTTTAACTTATCTTATTGTTTAATTTTGTGTTCACAGGCTCTGTGCTGGTTGCCTTTTTTTTTTTTTTTCTTTGAGTTTTAGTTTGAGTTGAGTTAGTGTTAATTTATTGTATCTCTGCAGTGGGTGTGGGCTGGAGGGAGCTGGGTGTGGAGGGGCTCACTTAGAGGGAGACCTTATTTCTAGTTATTGGTGGTGGTGGCACTTGTAATTGGGTGTTTTCAGTTGTGGTAATGGTTTTCTTTGTATTAACCTTGTTTGTTTTTCACTTATAGCATGTCTCCTTCACCCCAGCTTTAGGGTGGAGCCTCACCCCTGCAGTAGTATCCTCACCTGTTAAATCAACCTTAACCTTCTGTTTGTAAATAAAAGTTGCCGTATGGCTGTTAGACCCACACACTGACTGACTTGCTTTGTTATTAAAGCTACCTGTAAATCGCAGGTGTTACATATGTATTGGTTTTGTATATGTATTGGTTTATCTAAACAGCAGTCAGGTGATTTGTTATTTGTTCCCATCGTTACAGTGTATTTTAATAGGCTAATGTAACAAATTTAGCTTCCTGTATGTTGACACTGTCCATGGACTCCAGGTGAAAAATAACCCTCTGACATATTTACTCTGATGTGTTGTTTCAAGTGCCTGTGTGACTCTGTTTCTGATTTCTACTGTAATTTTAATGTCATTTCCTCATCACAAACTGAGCTGGACTTGAGTTTTGTTTCATTCACACATGTCTAACACACAAACCCTGCATATCTAGGCTCAAATGGAAAACACTGTTCCACCTTGTGATGTCATGTGGTGATACAGGAAGTGCTCCACTGTGCTTTAAACATACACCTTCAATGCAATCTTTTGGAGCATTTCAGACCTGGAATTGCCAATCTCTACTGAACTGAAGATAAAAAGTAACTTACTGTAACTGTTAATTGAAAACTTAGTGACATCACAAGGTGAAACAGATCCTTTCGAGCTTTGGAGATGTGAGTGAAACAAAACAACTCCAGGTCTGCTTTTGAGAAGGTCACATTACAACATGACTAAAAGCTCACAAGAGTCTACTTTGGGTAATAGTTTTACAACATGAGAGATGGATCAGAGACCGCAGGTTTGATTCTGTTTGATCACACATTATACTTTAGTTATGTCAAATTTGTGGCCATCAGATCTCAGAAGATAAGCAGGTTTGGGCCTGGTTAGTACTTGGATGGGACAGTATAGTATCAAAGTGGTGAGTGAGTGTTGGTGGTGGTCGGAGGGACTGATGGTGCACATTGGCAGCCTTGTCAGTCTGCCCCTGGGCAGCTGTGGCTACAATAGTAACTTACCACCACCAAGTGTGGAGTGAATGAACAATGACCTGTAAAGCACTTTGGGTGACTTGAAAGGTGATATATAAATGCAATGATTAAGTAATAATAACAACAATAATAATAAAACTCATTTCTATGAATGTGTGTAGGTAGTTCATTTTGACAGTTGTATTCTGCTCCAATTAAAGGGAGCACATATCGACAGGTCGATATCTTCTATAAAACAAGGCTCAAATAAGGAGAAAGAAAATGACTTTAAACACGGAAATCTTTATATTACATAACGGCGGTGTTGGGGAGTAACAGATTACATGTACTGGAGTTATGTAATCAGAGTACAAATGATGAGTAACTGTATTCAGTTACAGTTACTGTTTCAGTGAGTGGTAATTGGATTACAGTTACTTTGCTGAAATAAATGGATTACACGGTGGTGTTTTCCTGTTTTCACATTTTGGGCTATATCCTCTTTTTTTTTTTTTCCAGAAACTAAACCAGGACTAAAGAAACTAAACCAGGACCAAACCAGGATTTAACAGGACTAAATCCTGCTGTGTGGACTGTGTTTCCTCTTCTTCTATCAATAATATTTTTAATTTGGTTCAGTAAAGTCTGGGCTTTTTATTTTCTTTTATCAGACAAAACATTTTATGTGAAGATTTCCTCGTCTTTGTTTCTCTACAGCAAATCAAGTAATCCAAAGTATTCAGATTACATTACTCACTTTAAGTAATTTAATGGATTCCATTACAAAGTACATTTTGGGGTATGTAATCTGTAATCTGTAGGGGAATACATTTTGAAAGTCACCTTCCCAACACTGCAGAAACGCTAATATCACAGGCTACAGTGTGAATATAGTGATATTTCTAAACAAAGTTACAACGTTTTCTACACATGGAAACAAAATAAAATATGATGTAATGAAAACGATAATGATAAAATCCAATATTAAATCCAAACTATTCAATCATCTAACGCACTTATTCTGCTATATTCTTTATTATTAGACAGTAACAGCGCTTGGGAGTCGTGCGCATGCGCAGTAGCGTTAGGTTGCTCAAATCGATGGATAGGTCATTTCGACAGGACACCGTCACTTCTATGTCGATGTGATTCTAACGTCCGCTGTTGATAAAACGGTCCTTCACTTGCGCATGCGTAATACAGCGCGTGCGTGCAGGGATTTACCTTTCACTGGCGACTCTGCGTCATCGCTCGTCCTCCAATGAGAAAAAGCTTCACAGTAACACCGGCTGCAAAAGAGGAGAGAGACAGAGAGGGAGGACGAGAGAAATCAAGCAAGAGAGAGCTGCGTACATGACAGAAGCGTGCGTAACGGCGCCGTGCACAATCCGGCATATTCAGGTGAGATTTTATTTTATTTTATTGGAAAAGGATTCAGAGAGAAACGACAGACATATGTTTAGATTCTTGGACGCGCAAACGTTACGCAGCCAAAGCTCACCTGCATCTCTTGTTCGGTCCCTGGTTCGGTCCTGGTTTAGTCTCTGGTTTTGTCCTCGGATGTCGAAGCAACAGTAACACGTAAAATCAGACAAAGACACAGGAACGTAGCGAAACATGCGCACAAGACGCGAGCATCTCCGCGTTAATCCGTGTGTTTATGCGCTGTCCGAGGGATCATGAGGACACGGCGGGGACAGTGGCTCCGGCATCATGTTTTCTGTGACATAAATGGCCTATCGCGCCGTAGGGACATGGTTTAATGTGAGACAGAACCAAATGATCCAAGTTCGAATTCAGCACAGAGCTCAGAAATGTGAAGGATGAGAGAAAAGACAACAGCTTTGCGCGGTGATGCGTTTTCAGATTTTAGCCACAAGAAATAAATTAGGGGGAAAAAAATAAGTCATAGGTAGAACCTGAGCCCCGTTTAAACCGACACGATGGAGTTACTGCTTTAGTCCTGGTTTAGTCCTGGTTTAGTCCCTTCTTTAGACCTGGTTCAGTTTTATTTAAGTCCCTGCTTCAGGTGTATTCCCGTTTTTATTTCCTGGTTTAGTCCTGGTTTAATCTTGTTTAGACCCTGCTTTAGTCCTGGTTTTGTCCTGGGTTTATTTCTGGGTTTAGTGTGGGATTAAATCCTAGTTTAGTTCTGTTTTAGTCCTTGGTTTCATCCCTGCATCAGTCCTGGTTTATTCCCTGGTTTAATTCCTGGTTTAGTCCTGGGTTTAGGATTTAGTCCTAGTTTAGTCCTGTTTTAGTCCTTGGTTTCATCTCTGCATCAGCTCTGTTTTTCGCTGATTAAGACCCTGGTTTAGTCCTGGTTTATTCCCTGGTTTAGTCCTGGGTTTAGTCTAGGATTTAGTCCTAGTTTAGTTCTGTTTTACTCCTTGATTTCATCCCTGAATCAGTCCTGGTTTATTCCCTGATTAGGACCCTGGTTTAGTCCTGGTTTAGCCCCTGCTTTGGTCCTGGTTTATTACCTGGTTTAGTCCTGGTTTAGTCCCTTCCTTAGGCCTGGTTCAGTTCTAGTTAAGTCCCTGCTTCAGGTGTATTCCCTGATTTATTTCCTGGTTTAGTCCTGGTTTAATCTTGTTTAGACCCTGGTTTAGTCCTGGTTTAGTTCTGGGTTTATTTCTGGGTTTAGTGTGGGATTTTGTCCTAGTTTATTTCTGTTTTAGTCCTTGGTTTCATCCCTGCTTCGGTCCTGGTGTATTCCCTGGTTTATTACCTAGTTTAGTCCTGGTTTAGTCCTGGTGTAGTCCCTGGTTTATTACCTGGTTTAGTCCCTGCTTTAGTCTTGGTTTATTCCCTGGTTTATCCTCTAGTTTAGTCCCTGCTTTAGTCCTGGGTTTAGTCTGGGATTTAGTCCTAGTTTAGTTCTGTTGTAGTTCGTGGTTTCGTCCCTGCATCAGTCCTGGTTTATTCCCTGATTAGGACCCTCGTTTAGTCCTGGTTTAGCCCCTGCTTCGGTCCTGATTTAGTCCTGTTTAGTCCCTGCGTTATTCTTGGTTTATTCCCTGGTTTATCCCCTGGTTTAGTCCTGGGTTTAGTCTAGGATTTAGTCCTAGTTTAGTTCTGTTTTACTCCTTGGTTTCATTCCTGCATCAGTCTTGGTTTATCCCCTGATTAGGACCCTGGTTTAGCCCTAGTTTATCCTCTAGTTTAGTCCCAGGTTTAGCTCTGGGTTTAGTACTGGTTTAGTCCTGGGTTTATTCCCTGCTTTAGTTTTGTTTAGTCCTTGCTTTTTGTCCTGGTTTATTCCCTTGTTTAGTCCTGGGTTTAGTCCTAGGTTCAGTGAGGGATTTAGTCCTGATTTACTTTTCTTGTCTAGTCCTGTTTTAGTCCTGGTTTAGTCTGTTTTAGTCCTGTTTTAGTCCTGTTTTAGTCCTGGTTTAGTCTTGTTTCAGTCCTGTTTTAGTCTTGTTTCAGTGCTGTTTCAGTCCTGTTTTAGTCCTGTTTCAGTCCTGGTTTAGTCTTGTTTCAGTCCTGTTTTAGTCCTGTTTCAGTCCTGGTTTAGTCCTGTTTTAGTCCTGGTTTAGTCCTGTTTCAGTCCTGTTTCAGTCTTGTTTTAGTCCTGGTTTAGTCCTATTTCAGTCCTGTTTTAGTCCTGGTTTAGTCTTGTTTCAGTCCAGTTTCAGTCCTGTTTTAGTCCTGGTTTAGTCCTGGTTCAGTCCTGTTTTAGTCCTGGTTTAGTCCTGTTTCAGTCCTGGTTTAGTCCTGTTTAGTCCTGTTTTAGTCCTGGTTTAGTCCTGTTTTAGTCCTGGTTTAGTCCTGTTTTAGTCCTGGTTTAGTCCTGTTTTAGTCCTGGGTTAATCCTGTTTTAGTCCTGGTTTAGTCCTATTTCAGTCCTGGTTTAGTCCTGTTTTAGTCCTGGTTTAGTCCTGGTTTAGTCTTGTTTCAGTCCTGTTTCAGTCTTGTTTCAGTCCTGTTTTAGTCCTGGGTTAGTCCTGTTTTAGTCCTGGTTTAGTCCTGGTTTAGTCCTATTTCAGTCCTGGTTTAGTCCTGTTTTAGTCCTGGTTTAGTCTTGTTTCAGTCATGGTTTAGTCTTGTTTCAGTCCTGTTTCAGTCTTGTTTCAGTCCTGTTTCAGTCCTGTTTCAGTCTTGTTTCAGTCCTGTTTTAGTCCTGTTTCAGTCCTGTTTTAGTCCTGAGTTAGTCCTGTTTTAGTCCTGGTTTAGTCCTGGTTTAGTCCTATTTCAGTCCTGGTTTAGTCCACATTATTGCAGAGAAGTGACCTCTTTACACCTGCGTCCTGTGCCAGTGTTGTGTAGTAAACACACGAGTGCATCAGAGTGCATTCAGTTATTGTCAGCACACTTCACCACAGTAAAAAGAGCCGTCAGACTGTGTAAATACTAAAACTGAAAACATATACAAATCTTCCAACAAACATTAATGTTATCATTTCAAACTCTCTTTCGGTACGATACTTGATACTCAGGACTAATTCTGATCCCACGGTGATAATAAACCCTCTTTCTTTAGACAATACAATGTGATTTTCAATATTAAATGGCAGAGGTGGGACCAAGTCGTTGTTTTGCAAGTCTCAAGTAAGTCTCAACTCTTTCACATCAAGTCCAAGTCGAGTCTCGAGTCACTGGCCCATAAGTCCAAGTCAAGTCCAAGTCGTCTGCTTTAAGCTTCAAGTCATTTCAAATCTTTAAACCAAAGTAAATTGTACTTAAAAAGTCATGGTATAATTATATATGAGTATTTATATAAGAGTTGACGAAGTTCTACTTTTTCCTTTTTAAATGTCTTGACAAAATGTAAGTGTGAATTATTACGGTCAAAACAGAAAGAATTCAGATTTAAACATGTGTATTAACAGTTATTTTGTCATGAAATCTGCACTGAAATGGAAGGATCATATTCTCTGTAGTTCCCTCTGTTTTACTGTATATTACTGTATATTACTGTATATTACTGGAGTACATTTGAGGATACCATATCACAGTACTTTAGTTACATCCAAAGTACCAAACAGAAGTGGGAGGGACATGTTCAGTAGACTGATGCATCAGCTGGTTTCACTTTGTAGAAACCATCCAACATCTCAGCGTTAGAATTCCTTCGCTCAACGGTAGGTGGGTACTTTTTTCATTTAACCAATCGCTGCTACTTGTATGTAATGCACCGCTAACGGGGCTAACTGGTATATTAAGCAATTCCCAAATCCTGTAGGAATAAGGACAATAACGTCTTTCGCCTTGATGAAATTTACCAAACATTCTCTTCATTCCAGCTTTTAATCCTTGATCTCGTGAATCCTTGATAACACTGAATCTCTGGCTCTTCGCTGATTGGCTGGTGCCCAAAATTGCACTTCCGGAGTTTTTGCAAACCGTCTAGTGCAGGGGTGGGCAAACTACGGCCCGGGGGCCATATGCGGCGGTAAAAACGTCAAATTTGTTGCATAAAAGAGTTTCGTTCCTCAAAACAAACAACAAAACTGCAGCCCTGTAACAAAATAATTTTGTAAAATATACCAAAAAATACTCTTGGTGATAATTCGATACAGCAACCCATGATATCGATGCTGTATCATCACATTAAACAATACGATATATCGATATTTTGATATTTTTGCACAGCCCTACTGTGCACTGTCCTTGTTTAAATAAATAAACAAATAAATAAATGAAGAGAATAATGGTCTGTAGATTAGTCTCTGGCTTAGACCTGGTTTAGTCCTGGGTTTAGTTTGGTTTAGGAGATTTTTCTTTGTGGAGGAAATGATGGTGTTTCCGGCCTCTGTGATTTGCTTATTGCTTCCGTTCAAATTTGGATTGCGATGAATCCTGCAGCTCCACAATAATGTTGTATATCAGTTAGGGGTGGGCGATATATCGATATTTTAAATATATCGAGATATTTTTTAACTCGATATGAATTCTGACATATCGTATATGTCGATATAATGCTTATATTCAATTTTGATTTCGCCGCTTCGCTTGTTTACCTTCTCTGTTGTCGCCGGCGCGCCGCTCTTGTGTCCTTCACTCGTCACTACCGCCGTGAATACCGAAAGTTGGTGCCAGTGAAAAGCTTCAAGGCCATCAGCAGTACATCCTCACATTCCACCGAGTCTCGTCCTTTAGCCCGAAAGAAGCTAAACCGCATGAGCGGCACGTGGAGTGCGCTGTTTATGCAAATTAGCCATGCACTTAAGTTTCGTTTCTGTAAAATGTAACATGTGCGCAAACGGGCTGATGTGGCTCTAGAGTCGTTATGGTTTATATCTTGTAAAGTTTAGTAATGTAAATTCTATTTATGCAGAAGATTTTAATAAATAATCTGTTACAGTGTCACTTGTACAACAGTGTTTGAAACGTTGGGTTTGATCTGCAGTGGATTGTGGGAAACCTCAGAGCTCCTTACGCTGGTGAGGAACATG